TTTTTTTTTTTTTTTTTTTTTTTGTAGAGATGAGTCTTGCTATGTTGACCAGGCTGGTCTTGAACTCCTGGGCTCAAGCTGTCCTCCCACCTCGGCCCCTTAAGGTGCTGAGATTACAAGTGGGAGCCACCATGCCCGGCCCCAGCAGTCTTAAATCCTGGTCCTTTACTGTCCCCAGCCGAGCATGGAGGAATCCCTCTGCCTCTAGCCCCTCTCTGGGCCTGTCACCACTGAGGTGAGGGTTTTGGGCATGGCAGCCTTAGCAGATCCCTGCAGCCTAAGCATGCTGTCAGGGCCACCCTCTGCTGGGTGCTGACCTCCTGAGGGTGGGTCTGGCCCCTGCAGACCTGCAGAGGATGAGAGCTCTACCCTGGGGTGACCTTGTTTTGGGCCTGAGTGTGTTCTCAGCAGCCTAGGGAAGTAGCTCTGCTTCTGACGGCCTCCTGGGCGAATCTGTTCTAGGGCTGGAGGAAAAGCCAGACGGGGCCCTGGCTGCCCAGCCTCCACCTTCCCAGGCCCTGCTGACAGCAGGCTTGTTGCAGATGAGGACGATGTGCACAGATGCGGCCGCTGCCAGGCGGAGTTCACCGCCTTGGAGGATTTTGTTCAGCACAAGATTCAGAAGGCCTGCCAGCGGGCCCCTCAGGAGGCCCTGCCTGCCACTCCTGCCACCACAGCGTTGCTGGGCCAGGAGGTGAGCCGCCACCCACCCTCCCATCCCCTCCCGGGTTCACCTGATAGGCGGGGGAGGTGGCCGCACTCCAGGATGGACCTGTGCAGCTGGTTCCGGGGCCCACGTGGGCGGGCAGAGGGCAGGCATCTGGCTGCGGTGTGGGAGGGTCTGGGTGTGTGAGCCTGTGGTGCTCTGGGGTGTCCTGGAGGGCCTGCGGTGGCACAGCCTTCTTGGCAGCCTCTGGCTGAAGCCCGTGCTGTTGGGGGCTGGGATCTCTTCTTTCTTGGAGCCCGAGGGTCTCCTTTGGCTCTGGGTGCCATGGCAGCTTCTGTCTCTTTGGCTTATCTTCTGTCCTGTGCACACAGTCCCTAGGGACTTCACAAGTGCAGTGTGGCCCTGGGGGTCCCACCATCTCATCATCAAACGGCCACCTTTGCTGAGCCCCATGCCCGGCTTGGGCTGAGCGCACAGGCCTGTGAAGCCCGCATACGCCGCGGTGGGCACTTGTCTGCATTGCACAGTCAGGAGAGCAGGCTCAGAGAGTGGTCAGTGGTCTCCGACCACCAGCGGGGCATGGCCCAGACGATGCTGGACCCTGTTCACCCCACTCGAGCCTGTGCTCTTTACCTGCCCCTCCCAGAGGTGCCCCCTCCTCCAAGAAGGCCTCTGGTTCACACCTCCAGGGCCCTCTCCTCAGACCGCTCTGCCGGAAATGATGGGCTGGGACTGCACTGTTGTTCCTGCAGGCTGGCTCAGCTTCCTGCCAGAGTTGCTGGTCCCTCCCTGCAGGTGCCCTGTGCTCCAGGTCCAGCCCATGTGGCCAGAGGCGTGAGAGTGACGGCGCTGACCCTGGCCATGGGTGAAGGGGCTGGTCTGGGACCTGTGGTCCTGTTAGGGAAGAGGAGAGCCCCCACCCCAGCCGTCCCAAGGACATGGACCCAGGCCTGAGCATCACAGGCCACACCTTCACAGCTTTACACTGGCAGAGCCCAGGCCTCTTCTCTGAGAACTAACTCTAGAGCGTACAGACGAGTCCCCTCTGTTTTCTGCCCCCTTTGGCAGGTGGTGCCGGCAGCCCCAGGCCCAGAGGAGCCCATCACTGTGGCCCACATTGTAGTGGAGGCAGCCTCCCTGGCAGCAGACATCAGCCACGCACCTGACCTTGTTGGTAAGCCGACTGCCATGGATCACTGGCCTGACAGACCTTCGTGGTCAGGGCCAGAGGATGGGGCCTCTGCTGCCGGTGTGCTCATCTCTCCTGAGACCAGGGCCTGGCTGGGAGGGGCCATGGCCTCGTGGGAGCTTTCCGAGGGCACAGCCTGCAGGAGGAGGGAGCGTTGGGCACTGGGCCTTCCTCAGGTGTCCGTAGTGGCCGGGGGCACACCCAGGCACCAGGGGGTCTTCGGGCTGTGCTCTCCTCCAGCTTTCCCGGGTGGTCTCTCCCTGTCCCTCCCAGAATTTTCCCCACTTCCTGCCACCCCTTGCTTCCTGCTCCCTGCCCGTAGGCAGCAGCATCCACCAGGCACCCACCAGGATGGCCCGCTCGCCCGGCAGCGGCTCTGGAGGGCGGGTGCAGGGTGGACAGGCTCTGCCGCCTCTCCAGCTGGGCTCGGACTTGCTGCTGTGATGGCCTGCCCTCCCCAGTGCTCACTCTGGTGTGGGGGTGGTGACTGCTGCTCTGGTCCTCGTGGGGCTTTTATGAGCGTGCAATGCCAGCCCTCTTTGATGGCTACTTTTTAAGTGAAGGCGTCTCCCTGATGTGCTGTGGGAGGGGCTGTTGTGAGGTCTGGATGGGCAACCTCTCACTCATCGGGGACAGATGTGTGTGCAGGGGGGACATTCAGAGGCAGCCAGGGCCTGGGCAGGTTGAGGGAGCCAGGGGCTGCTGGGGTTGGGGGTGCGGCAGGGGCGACTGGCTGGGTGTGCAGACGTGAGGGAAGGAGCTGTCTGGGCCTAATGCTGTGGGAGGCTGGGGTGGAGCATGGCTGCTGCCTGGGGAGCCTGCTGGACCAGGGCCGAGGCAGGCAGGGAGTGGGCAGCTGGACAGGAAGTAGGTTTGGGCACCAGGCGGAACCTGGCCTTTGGCAGCCCTTGGTACCTGCTGCGGCAGGAAGAGGGGGTGGGGGAGCCGTGGCAGAGGCCAGCCCCAGGCCTGGGAAGGGCACTAGTGAGCAGGCCGCTCTCCAGGAGGCAGCCGGGGCACCTGTCTCACCTCCGTGCTGCCTTTCCCTGGCATTCCTGCGACCAAGACACTCATCAGTGCCACTCAGAGCTCGGAATGTTCATGTGGGAGGTGGGGCGGGCTCTGGCCTTGACCTGGCGTTTGGATGGTGGCGTCATCTGGGAGCATGAACTCCCTAGGTTCTGGCGGGGTCTCTGGGCTGGGTCTCTGGCCACCCAGGCCCCTTTCCACCCACCTAACCTCTAGCAGCCCCCAGCCTTGGGCTCAGCACCCCTCCCTGTGCTTCAGGGACCCCTCTCGGCACCCCTGCCCCTCTGGCACCCCTGGGATTTTCCCCTTTGCGGGCATCCTGGGCACCCTGAGTGTGCCCTTGGCCAGTCAGCAGGCCTGGTGGGCTGAGTCCAGGGCTGCTAGCTCTCCTGTTGGCCTCCAGTGGAGATGGCACAGGGTCCTGCCTGCTGGTGGCCAAGGGCCGGGGCAGTGCCGGGTCCGGTCTTTGCGGGTGCAGGAGAGCGGTCAGCTGTATGCGCAGCTGGAACCCACCTCCAGGCCCTCCTGCCTCTTCCGCGGAAAACGTTTGTGTCTCCTCTGCGGCCTGGCAGCAGCCATGTTCCCCCAGGTCTTCCCCATGAGGGGCCTCTGTCCTTTGGAAGATCACTCCTGGCGCGTCGAGCGTCTAAGCCAGGGCTCGGGCAGGAGAGGCTCTTAATTGTTTCTGAGTCACGGCGCTTTTGTTGTGTTTCAAGAGAACAGCTTGTCAAAACAAGACGCCAGCCGGACTGAGGTGGTTTCTAAGAAGGAGCTTCACAGCTGTTTCCCACTTGTCATCTTTATGAGCAGAAAACGTGAAGTGTGTTTACAGCCTAGCTTTGCACATTGTCAGATTTTTCCCAGCACCCTCCAGAAGTGCAAAAGCCCAGCTTCCTCGCCTCAGGCTGTCCCGGGTGTCTGGACAGCATTCACTCTCCCAGGCCAGGCCTGCCTGTCCCACTACAGCGGCCTGGCCCATCCCCTCTAATGGAGGAGTGGCCCCGGACGCATATCCTCCCTATGTTGGTGGGAGCAGTGGCAGGAGCTGTGGCAGCGAGCAGGACAGGCGGCTGTCTCTTCACCCAGGGACCTTGTCACCAGGATTCGCATGTCCTGCTGGCTTTGGGGATAGGCCATGTTCCATGGTGGGTCTCCCTGTGGACACATTTGGGGGCCCTGGAGCATCTCTGGGCAGCCTGACAGAGTCCGGAGATGTCTCTCCACCGCTCACTCTGACCTGGAGAGTTGAATGGGGCCTTGGCTGCTGCTCGGGCCTGTGTGTTGAGGGCTCAGTGCAGGTTGGGTCCAGGATGTGGCTTGGAGCAGCAGTTCCCCTCCCCTGGAGCCGGCGGTCTCTGGGTAGGGGCAGGTCTTGGGGCTTAGGCCGAGATGCCTCTCCTAGGTGGTGGGCACATCAAAGAGGTCATCGTGGGTGCTGAGGCGGAGCCGGGGGACAGTGAGATGGCCGAGGCCCCGGGCAGCCCCCACCAGCAGGGACTGGGGCTCGCAGGGGAGGGCGAGCCGGCCCAGGTGAAGCTACTGGTGAACAAGGATGGCCGCTATGTGTGTGCACTGTGCCACAAGACCTTCAAGACGGTGAGCCGGTGTGTGGGGAGCCAGTGTGTGGGCGGCAGGGCCCCTCCTGTTCCCCTAGGAGGGCCCTGAGCTGCTACGCCCTTCCCCACAGGGCAGCATCCTCAAGGCCCACATGGTCACTCACAGCAGCCGCAAGGACCACGAGTGCAAGCTCTGTGGGGCCTCCTTCCGCACCAAGGGCTCACTCATCCGGCACCACCGGCGGCATACGGGTGAGCTGGCTGCACCTTGGGCTGGAGCCCTGTAGCACCCCGATGGCTGGCCCTGGGGTGCCCCAGCCTCGCATTCCCCAGCTTTGGGGGATGAGGCAGGGTCCCCTGCCTGTCTTCACCTTGTCACCTTGTCACCAGCCTGCTGGGGCTGCCTGAGGCTGACTAGGTTCTCTCTGCAGACGAGCGCCCCTACAAGTGCTCCAAGTGTGGGAAGAGCTTCCGGGAGTCGGGCGCACTGACCCGGCACCTCAAGTCTCTCACCCCCTGCACGGAGAAAATCCGCTTCAGTGTGAGCAAGGATGTGGTTGTCAGCAAAGAGGATGCACCTGCAGGTCAGCATGATGCGGGCAGCTGCCTGGTCCCGGGGACTGGCTGTGGACCCAGCCACCACTGGGGTGTGTGAGGGAGCTTCACTCCCTCACTCTACTTTGAAGGGTCTGGAGCTGGAGCTGCCACCTTGGGGACAGTCACATCATCATCGGTGACAGGCGAGCCCATAGAGACTTCACCTGTGATTCACCTGGTGACAGATGCCAAGGGCACCGTCATCCACGAAGTCCACGTCCAGATGCAGGAGCTGCCCCTGGGCATGAAAACCCTGGCCCCGGAGGTGTGGGCGACGGGGAGCCCTGGAGGGCCGCTGTGTCTTCTGCCTGCTCGGTGCCAGTCTTTGTTCTGAGCACTGGCTCCAGGGGTCTGGGCCAGGCAGGCGAGGGCTGGAAGAGCAGGGCCGGTGGGAGCACCATGGGGGTCTGAGGGTTTGCACAAGGCTCCTGGCATGGGTCTGCCCCATGGAGTGGGTGCTGGATGCCAGGCTGCCTGGCCAGCCTCCTCTCTCTGCCTCCCCTGCAGCCCCCCGTCTCCCAGGAGCTCCCCTGCTCCAGTGAGGGCAGCCGAGAGAACCTGCTGCACCAGGCCATGCAGAACTCCGGCATCGTCCTTGAGCGCACCGCTGGGGAGGAGGGTGCCCTGGAGCCAGCCCCTGCTGCTGGGTCCAGTCCCCAGCCCCTGGCAGAGGCAGCCCCGCAGCTGCCGGTACTGGAAGTGCAGCCGCTAGAGACAGTAGGTGCCAGCATCACCTGCAGGCTCCTCTCAGGGCTGGATCCCGGGGGCTGTCCCCATGCTGGCCTTGGCACTCCCTGAAGTGGCTTTCTGCAGTGACTTTGTCTATTGATCTGTTTACTGCCTTCCCTGGAGCCACGAGGGAGCCTGCCAGGGTGGGGCCCATGGTTGTGTTCCTGGCACTGCCAGGGCACAGCCTGCCCCAGGTGCTGGAGGCCTTCCTGTGGTTCCCCAGCAGGTGGCCAGCGAGGCCTCAGCGGTGCCCAGGACCCACCCATGTCCTCAGTGCAGTGAGACCTTCCCGACAGCAGCCACCCTGGAGGCCCACAAGAGGGGCCACACCGGTGGGTGATGGGTGGGTGTGTGGCCCACAGCAGTGGATGGGCTATAGGTGACCGGGGTGCCTTTGGGTATCCAGGGTGGGTCCATAGACAGCAGGGAGCCAGGGGAGCTGTCGGCAGGTGGCAGGTGGCCTGGAGGGCCTGCCAGTGACGGGCCTGGCCTGATGTGTGTGGCTGCAGGGCCGAGGCCGTTCGCCTGTGTGCAGTGTGGCAAGGCCTTCCCCAAGGCCTACCTGCTCAAGAAGCACCAGGAGGTGCACGTGCGTGAGCGCCGCTTCCGCTGTGGCGACTGCGGGAAGCTCTACAAGACCATCGCCCATGTGCGCGGCCACCGGCGCGTCCACTCAGACGAGCGGCCATACCCTTGTCCCGAGTGTGGCAAGCGCTACAAGACTAAGGTAGGCCTCTGGCCCCAGGACCCTGGCACCTGACCCCCCATCCTGCTCTCTGGCCCTGGCCCCGGTGCACCCCCTTCCCTGCCTCCACCGTGCTCAGTCTTGACCCAGCCCCTCCCTTGGGCCAGAAGTGGGAGGGGAGAGCTGTAGTCTGTTGTGGCCCAGGCCAGGCTGGCACTGACAGGTGTCTCCACAGAACGCACAGCAGGTGCACTTCCGGACACATCTGGAGGAGAAGCCGCATGTGTGCCAGTTCTGCAGCCGTGGCTTCCGAGAGAAGGGCTCGCTGGTGCGGCACGTGCGACACCACACAGGCGAGAAGCCATTCAAGTGCTACAAGTGCGGCCGTGGCTTCGCTGAGCACGGCACGCTGAACCGGCACCTGCGCACCAAAGGTCTGGGCCCGTGGAGGCGGGAGGAGGAGGGGAGGGGGCTGGGGCTCCCCAAGCCCTGACTGAGTCCCCACCCGCAGGGGGCTGCCTGCTGGAGGTGGAGGAGTTGCTGGTGTCCGAGGAGAGCCCCGCGGCAGCCACCACCGTTCTCGCAGAGGACCCGCACACGGTGTTGGTGGAGTTCTCGTCCGTGGTAGCCGACACCCAGGAGTATATCATTGAGGTGGGTGTGGGGCCCTGAGGCCAGGATGGGACCCAGGGGCAACCAAAGCTGACCTCTATCCTTCTGCCCATCTGCCCAGGCCACTGCGGATGATGCGGAGACCAGTGAGGCCACGGAGATCATCGAGGGCACCCAGACGGAGGTGAGGGGTGGGGCGGGTGGGGGCAGGGAGGCTCCCTGGCGCAGCCGCTTTCGCTGAGCCGTGGCCCCGCAGGTGGACAGCCACATCATGAAGGTGGTGCAGCAGATTGTGCACCAGGCCAGCGCCGGCCACCAGATCATTGTGCAGAATGTCACCATGGATGAGGAGACAGCGCTGGGCCCAGAGGCGGCTGCTGCCGACACCATCACCATCGCAACCCCCGAGAGCCTGACAGAACAGGTGGCCATGACACTGGCCTCAGCCATCAGCGAGGGCACTGTGCTTGCCACCCGGGCAGGGGCGAGTGGCACTGAACAGGCCACTGTGACCATGGTGTCATCAGAGGACATCGAGATCCTGGAGCATGCAGGCGAGCTGGTCATCTCCTCGCCAGAGGGCCAGCTGGAGGTGCAGACGGTCATCGTCTAGCATGAGGTCTGCGGGGTCCTGGCCGGCCAGGGACAGGGCAGAGGACCTGAGCGCCCCGCCAATGCCTGCCTGGCAGAGAAGAAGACACAGAATGGAGGCGCCCCAAGATGGGCAGTGTACATAAGAGTTTCTTGTTGCTTTCCAATAAAACATGAGAACCTGCAGCTTGTGATGTTGTGGCAGTGGCAGCCTCCATGGATGGTGCCACCACTTTTGCCCAGGTCCCGGCAGCAGCACCTGCCTCCCAGGCCACCCCTAGACTCACGTGCCTGGCCGCCCTGCCCAGGGGCTCCCGCCAGCCCTGGCGGCGCCTTGGTGGCGCGTGGGTGTCATTGGCATGTTGACCAACAGCCTCCTGCCCTGCCCAGCTGGAGCTGTGCCCCCAGCTGCACTGCCTGAGGCCTGTGGGTAGGTGGGAGGACCAGGGACGGGGACAGGGAGATCTGGGAGCCTTGGCCTCCACCACAGGGTGAGGAGGTGCAGCAGCAGGAGATGCTGGGCAAGGAGTGTGGCTGGGCCTTCCTGTGCTGCCTTCCTTTCCCTGAAGGGATTCTGCTCAGGGAGAGAGTCTAGGCGACCTAGTTTCTAGGGGTGGGGACAAGAACAGCCTCACCGGGATGTGGCTGACCGTCTACCTCCATCCTAGGGGGCTGGCAGGGGCTTCTGGGACGGTTTTGGGACAGGCCTGGGGCACCAGAAGGGGCTCAGGCAGGTCTCCCACCCCTTACCCTGGGGGTCTCCACGGGAATGAAAGCCAAGAGTTCATCAGGCACCCAGCTCGGTCGAGGGGGCGGGACCCAGCGCAGCCCGGCCCCTCCCTGGACCAGGACCTCAAATACCGGCCCCTGTCCTGGTGCCAGAGCTGCGCTGGAGGGAGTCAGTGCAGTCCTGTGTCGGACACGCCCGCAGCCTGGACCCGGGATCCCCATTTCCCTAGAACCCCTGAGCCTCGGGCCTCCGCACCCACATCCAAGGTGAGTCTCTCCGCTGGCTGTGCTGGGGCTGGATGGGTCGGACCCTCTATTCCGGCTGCAGCTTCCCGCGCAGTGAGAAGGCAGCGGTCCCTGAGAGCCCAGCAGTGCCCTGGGAGCCTGCAGAGCGCAGGGGCGGATTCTGCGTCGCACTGGCCGTCACGGGGCGGCCGCGGAGGAGAGGGGTGGGTCGGTGGGTCTGACAACAGGTCTGCGTAGGCGGCCGCTTCTGTCCCTCCCAGCCCCTCGCTCCGCGCAATGAGCGGGCCCCGGGCCCTGCTGGCCGCGCTCTGGGCGCTGGAAGCCGCCAGGGCCACGGCGCTTCGCATCGGAGCCTTCAACATCCAGAGCTTCGGCGACAGCAAAGTGTCGGACCCGGCTTGCGGCAGCATCATCGCGAAGGTGGGGCCCCGGCCGGGGCGGGGTGGGGCGGCGTTTGGGGGTGCTGACCGCGCTGACCCCGCACCCGCGACTCCTCCCCAGATCCTGGCGGGTTATGACCTCGCGCTGGTGCAGGAGGTGCGAGACCCAGACCTCAGCGCCGTGTCCACGCTCATGGAGCAGATCAACAGGTGTGGTGGGCAGGGCCCCTCGTCTCGACCCCCGACCGGGATCTCGCCCCGGCGTGGCGCCCTGACCCTGAGCGGGCCCCTGTCTCTGCAGGGTGTCCGAGCACGAGTACAGCTTTGTGAGCAGCCAGCCCCTGGGCCGGGACCAGTATAAGGAGATGTACCTGTTCGTGTACAGGTGAGGGGCGGACCGCAGTGAGGGGCGCGCGGGGCCGCAGGTGGGAGGCTCAGCGCGTCCCCCCCATCTCCTAGGAAGGACGCGGTGGCTGTCGTGGACACATACCAGTACCCGGACCCCGAGGACGTCTTCAGCCGCGAGCCCTTCGTGGTCAAGTTCTCGGCCCCCGGCTCAGGTGAGCGGGCCCCGCCCCTCCCCTGCCGCCGGCCCGCCCCTCCCCTTCCGCCGGGACCTGACGCCCGACCCCTTCCTGCAGCAGCGCAGAAGCTGGTGCTGATCCCGCTGCACGCGGCGCCGCATCAAGCCGTGGCGGAGATCGACGCGCTCTACGACGTGTACCTGGACGTGATCGACAAGTGGGGCACCGACGTAAGCCCACCCCTCGGTCCCGGGGTCCCTGCAGGCGCGCCCCGGAGGTCTGGGCCATGAGGGCGGGACCTCGACGGCTCCTGGGACGGCTCAGACTCGGCTCCGCGGCGCCCGCAGGACATGCTGTTCCTGGGGGACTTCAACGCCGACTGCAGCTATGTGCGGGCGCAGGACTGGGCTGCCATCCGCCTGAGAAGCAGTGAGGTCTTCAAGTGGCTCATCCCTGACAGCGCCGACACCACGGTGGGTAACTCAGATTGCGCCTACGACCGCATCGTGGCCTGCGGCGCCCGCCTGCGCCGAAGCCTGAAGCCCCAGTCGGCCACTGTGCACGACTTCCAGGAGGAATTCGGCCTGGACCAGACTCAGGCGAGTGGGCCGTGGGGCGGCGCTGGTCCTGGGTCCCCATCGCCCGGGCGCACGCAGGCAGCAGGGAGGGGCCAGCACCCAAGGGGGGGCCACCTCAGCTCCCCTCCTTGCACCAGGGATCATTTCCAAGGACCCTGAGAGCCTGGCCCACCCCATGTGGAGCTCCGGGCAGGCAGGGTACCTTGCCTTTCCCTCAAAGGGCCAATGGTGACACCCTCTGCCCTGGCCCCTGCCCCACCGCAGGCAGCAGCAAGGGTGGGCACCTAGGCCTCACCACCCCTTCCTGCAGAGGCAGTGGCTTGTGGACACCCAGTGGGCCCATCCCGGTGGCTGGGGTCCACTTTTCCCCTGAGGCTCTTTCTCTTTCCCCAGGCGCTCGCCATCAGTGACCACTTTCCGGTGGAGGTGACCCTCAAGTCCCACAGATGACTCGAGGCCTGGCTGGGGCATGCCACCTGCAGACCCTGGCCCTGAGGAATGGCCCCACAGTGGCCCCTTCAGGGTAGCAGCCACCCTTCAGTGAGGCCCCAAGGCAGAGTCGGCTGGGCGTGGACCAGGGGCCATGGACACGTAATGGGCTGCCCTGCAACTCCATTCCCCATCTGTGAGACGGGCTGCATCCAGCGACCTCAGGGGGTGTTGTCAGCCCCATGAGGGGCACAGAGGGCACTGCCTGGCAAATGTCTGCTCAATAAATGAGCCGCTCCCAGCCGGGCCCCACAGCTTGGCTCCCAGGCCTCTGTCCTTCCTAGGGACCTAGCCTCAGCTCCTCAGGGGCAGCCCCGCTTCCCTGAGGAAATGCAGCTCAGGGAGGCAGGCTCTGGGCCATGTCCTGGGCTGCCCATCCTGTGTCCTGGTGGGACTTGGCCACCCCCAGAGCCTGTTTGCTCCAGAAGGCAGCTCAGGAACCCTCCTTGCTTATCCTCTGTGCAAACTACAAATGCTCTCAGGAGCCTGTACTGTGAGCACAGCTGGGACAGGGACGGCGCCAACACATCAGCCTCCTGGGCCCTTGGGGGGGTCTCAGAATAGCTCTCCCCAGGCCCACCCCGCAGCCCCCATTCCAGGGCCCTGCGGGGAGCCCCCAGGCACTTGTCTCAGGGGCCCGGTCTCACCCAGCACTGCAAGGGGAGACTGGCCCCAGTCAGTCAGCAGTCCTGGAGCTTTTGGGGAGCCTGAGAGCAGTAGGTGGGCTGGACTCCTCCCTGCCGAGGTAGGTGGCTTGGGACTAAGGTCCCGTGCAAAGAACTGCACAGCTCGCTATGGCTCAGCCCTTCAAGTTTGCTGCCCTGTGCCCTGGGCAAGGCCACCACATTAGGATTGGGAACAGGCAGGCCCATGGGTCCACTGGGTCACTGACGGGAGCCCGATGAGGTTTCTGGTTTTTGAAACATCACATCTTAGCAAGGTGTGGGAACTTGGTCTGAATTGCATGGGAGGAAAAACCTTTGTTTCAAGGATTTGGATGAGTTTGGTTCTTGCAAAATCCTTCTTAAGGGGCATTTGGAACCCTGGCAGCACAGCTGCCTCCAGAGTCCCACTCCCGCCGGCTCAGGATCCCCCAGTTGCTCTGATTCACCGTCCACTCCCTTCATCCTGATGAGTAAGGGCAGTGGCCAAAAGGCTTTTCTCTGGGGAGTCCTGTGAGGGTCATGGGGGCCAAGACCACCTGGCCTCACACCTAAGAGCAGGCAGTCCAAAGCCGGAATGGACGACCAGGGACTTGATTTACGATTCTGCCTTGGGAACGGAGACATTCAGTGGCGACCTCACCAGGTCCAGAATGGCGCCCCCTGCCAGTCACAATCCCAAGTCAAAAAGCTGCCCTCAACTCCCCTTGCCTGCTGGGCACAGGCACCCATGTGTGTTTGTGTGTGGTTGGGTCTTGGGCCACCGGGCTACGAGGAACAGGAACTTCTACGTAAAATCAGCCAAATGAAACGCTGGCAGTACTTTTAAGTTGAAAAATGCCTTGTTTAAGACCTCCCTGGGACCCAGAGGGGCGCGCGTGGCTGTAAGTCTGTGGCAGCCCAGCCGTTAGCCTTTCTTTTCTTTGAGCCTCTCGAAGTACAGCTGCAGGGACTTCTGGATGGAGTCTTTGGAGAGGAAGCTGACGAAGTTCTGCACGTCCGCATCACGCTGAGTGATCAGGCGGCTGGCTGTAGCCTTTCGCATCATGGCCTTCGTCAGCTGTCGAGCGTGGTCTAAAGAAAATGGGACCTACCACTGAAATCCCGCTTTCAGGGGCAGTGGGGTGACTCCCAACTTACATTTATTTTTTTTTTTTGAGATGGAGTCTTGCTCTGTTGCCCAGGCTGCAGTGGTGGGATCTCGGCTCACTGCAACCTCTGCCTCCTGGGTTCAAGTGATTTTCCTGTGTCAGCCTCCCGAGTAGCTGGGATTACAGGTGTGCACCACCACACCCAGCTAATTTTGTATTTTTAGTAGAGATGGGGTTTCCCCATGTTGGCCAGGCTGGT